TTTTTTTTTTTTTTTTTTTTTTGGCACTGGGGATCCAACTCACAACCTTGTGCTTGCAAGGCAGGTACCACTGCCACTTAGCTAAATCCCTGGCCCCAGATTCCACTTTTACATCCTGATTTACAGAGGAGAAAAAAATTGAAGCACAGAGAACTGGGGCTGAGACCACACAGTAGTGAATGACAGAACTGGAATTTCAATCTAGCTGGGACCCGTTATAGTCTTTACTTGTGTTCACCTCCCTGAATTTCTCGATATAGAGTAGCTAATATGATATCATTCTGGCTAATATATCCATATTTTAACAAGGATACCAGGCCTTGACTCAAAGGTGAGACTGAAGGTAACATGACGTACAGTATTTTCAGTGAGACTAGGGGCTGGCTTTCTTAGGCTAGTGCCACCTCGTGGCTAATAGGACTGCCAGTTAACATTTTCTCTTTTGCCTTCAGATGCTAATTAAGGTCCATAACTATTACCTTGAGGCACTACAGGTTCTTGAACTGCCCTCTGAATCATCAAAAAAAAGATTAAGCTGTGCGCTGTCCAGTTTATTCCTTCCATAAGTACATATTGGGTACCTATCACCAAGCATTCAGCATTGGCACTCTGATTCCATGGAGATAATAGTGTGATGGGAGAAATACATACCCATCAAAGAGTCACACAAAATGTCCAAAATTGCAGCTGTCACAAGGCAACAAAGGTCTAGCCACGGAGGATAGGCAGGGAAGGATGAGGAAGGGTTGACTGAGTCAAGATCTTCACACAGAGAGATTAACCAGATAAAGACAAGAAAGAACATTCTAGACAAGAAGAACAAGCAAAGCCCTGCAATGGGGAGGGAGCATGATAAACAAAGAGGCCAATGTTGTTGGAATGGAAAAAATGAAGAAGAGGTTGAAAAGGCAAGGCTAGACTACCACAAAGTCTTGGAGGCCAAATGGAAGAATTCTGCTTTACCTTCAGTGGGATGGGGATCACAGAGGGTTTCAGCAGCTTTGCATCTTGAATCACTTCTGAATATGAAGGATGCCAGATTTAATAATCAATTGACTGCAAATAAACTCTTATCATGTGTCACTGACCCAGCAGATTGTGCATGGCTGCCATCACATTGGATACACTGGGCACTGGACACATACCCCTCTAAGCAGAGCCACCTACTTTTTGGTTGTAGGTGAAAAGATGTGATACTTTCACTTACTTACTAGGAGGTTGATTTGGAAAGATTCACAAGCATCCAGATTTATTCTTTTTAAATAAAAAAATTATATCAATACTACCTCATTTAACCCCACCAGTCTTGTGAGGGAGATGATACTGCTTGTCTTACAGGTTCAGAAAGGTCAAATAAAACGTTCAGGCCATTCTACCACTAACAGTGCAGGGTGGGTGGGGATGGGGCCTCAAGTGTTTAATTCCTGTCTTCTCCAAAACTTCTTTAAATAAGCCCAAGGTATGGGCAAGTTAAGTCTCTTCCCACAGGCTGCAACTTTAAAGAGAGAGCCGTTGTAAATATTTACTACTGCAACATCTACTCTGACACCTAAGAAAAGGAACCAAAGAGAAGAGGCCTGCTCCCCTTTCCTAGTTCCATGCTTGCTTATTGGGGAGTGCCAACAACACAATGTCCTCTAAAGGTCGCTCATACAGCCTGGCAAAAAATCTTTGTAGGCAGGTAATTAACACCTGTCTTTTATCCCTCAGTTTTGTTCAAATTGCTTAGTAACAGAGAGCTTTGTGAAAGCAATTAAATCAGTGTTTTGAAGCTTCCTTACTCAATGAAGTTGAAGGCAAACTACCTTAAAAATGCTGTTCTAATGCCTATGTGTAGGAGATTTTTTTTTCGTAGCAACATACTTGAAGCACAAATAACTTTTGCCTGGGGAAATAGCAGTATTCTCAAAAGCAATGACATTAATTTTCCTCAAATGTTCTACATTTTTTCCTTTTGAAATGAGCAAGGGGACAAATCAGACAGGTTCTCAGAACCTGTACTTTTGTGGGAGGTGTGGGGGAGTAGGGTTGACACAAATAAGAATTGACACATTGTTTCTGCTCTGAAAGGTGATAAAGCGCTGAATTTCATGGGTGAATTCTGATTCACCTTTCCAATTTCTATTTAATGCTCATACCTAATTTTGAGTAGAGATGCATAGCAGGGAGATTGGGGAGAGGCAGGTAGAAGATGAAGTGGTAAAATGAAGCACTTTTGCATTTGTGGGAGGCAGAAAAGAGGTAAGGGAGCAGAAAACAGTCCACCAGAAGAGGGACTACAAGAGGAAAGGGAATGGCTGAAAATGTACTAGAAGCCCAGACTGGGTGGCACATGGCTGTAGTCCTAGCATCTGGGAGGCTAAGGCAAAGAACAAAGTTTGAGCCCAGCCTGGACAATTTAGTGCCTCAGACAGACCATTTCAAAACAAAAACAAAATAAAAAAGAGGCTGGGGATGTAGCTTAATATGACAGCCTGGGTTCAACACTAGTTGGGGACCAGTGTTGGTGGGGGGGACTGAGAGAGTAAAGGCAATACAGAGAAGAAATGCCTTCGAGGGAGAAGAGTATAGTTCTGTCTTTACCACAAAGATATGGCACCAAACCAGATGTGGTGGTTTATGCCTGTAATCCCAGCATTCCAGAGGATGAGGCAGGAGGATCACCTTAAATTTGAGACCAGCCTGAACTTCTTAGTAAGACCCTGTCTCAAACAAAAACAAAAAATAAAAATAAAAAAATAAAGTGAAAGACCTGGCATCCTTACTGAGCAGTGTGTGTGTGTGTGTGTGTGTGTGTGCATGTGCGTGTATTTTGTTTGAGACAGGGGTCTATGTTATCCTGGCTGGCCTAGAATTCAAACAATATTACAGCCCCGGCTGGCCTTAAACTGCAGGTGAACCTCCTGCCTCAGCCTTCCAAGTTCTGGAATCACAGGCATAAATCACCCCACATCAGTCACTTTTTGCTGTTGTTGTTTTTGGTACCGGGATCGAACTTTGGTCCTTGTGCTTGTGAAGCAGTTGGTGGAACCACTGAACTAAATCCCCAGCCCCTGTTGTTGCTGTTTTGAGACAGGGTCTGCTACGTAGTTCAGGCTGGCCTTGAACTTTTGAATTGGTCTCCTATAGTTTTGTTATGAGCATGTAATTAATAGGTAGAAAATTAATAAAATCAATAAGTGAATATGCCCCATGTGACTGGCAGCTGACAGCTTAGCTGACAGCTTAGCTAATAGCCAACTGACAGCTATGACTTAATGTAACTGACAATTTAAGATAAGAAACCTGTGCCTGTATAGACTACGCCAGGGTGTACTAGATAAAGACTGAAAGTGAAACCTGAAACCATCTCCCGCCTTACGACCACCTGCTTTAACCTGAGTACATGGCCCGAACGATAAGGAGCAGTCAGGGCATAAAAGCGGCGTACTCAAGACCCAGTCGTCGTCGTCCACCGCGACCCGACCTGACCGTCACTCGTCGCCACGTCGCCACGCCACGCGACTTGACCGATTGCTGCCGGAGGCCCTGCTGGAACCGGAGCCGATCATCACGTCGCAGCTCGAACCTCTGCCCGACAGCCCGGCGCTCGGTGTCACGGACTCAGGTCGTATAGTCCTACTATAGCTTATAATATTTTATAACACCCCGGTATTGTACTTGCCTCAATATCGAGGGAAAGGACTAGGATGCTCTCTTGATTGTTATTGTGGTATTCGCTTTGATATTGCTTTGCTTGTGTGACAATAAACCTCCTTTAAAGACATATCACTTGTAGTTTTCATTACCTCGGAGCTAGGGAGACATTTAGAGCTCCCAGCTTGGGATTCGATACCTGATCGTGCTCGCGACAAGTTTCAACCCGTCCTCCCTTGTGGCTCTTGAACTTTCCCATGTTAGGGCCCTCCCCCACCTAGGTACCTACCAGGCTATGACTTCACTTCAGGTCTCTACTTAAGTGGTCGCTTAAAACAGCAGCTCCCTTGTGCAGACTGGTACAACCACTATGGAAATCAATATGGAGATACCTCTCTGCTTTATTCTTAAAACTCCAATAGCCCTTGGACAGACTTTCTATGTTCTGGCTGTTGTGTGCCTCACATTCCCTCCTAAATGTAAATTCCACATGAACAGGGACTTTGTTTCGCTTGGACCCTGTTTCCAGGACTCAGCGCCAGACTGGACTGGAGCGGTGGGGCCTGGGGTTTGGGTGTCCTCTGAGTCCGGCGTACTTTCCTTCCTTCTCTCCTTTCCACCTTCAAAGACGGGGAGGGATGTAGCAGCGGGAAACCAGGCGGAATCCTAATTCGTCCAGGGTACATTCCAGTGAAAAGAGAACGGACTAAAACGCACAGAACAGATGCACACACAAAAGTGAAGGAAGCGGAAAAGTAACCGAGCAAAGTAGGCGAGAAAGCTAACAGACGTCACTCCCTCAGTCACGCTCCCTGACGGACTCCCCCGCGGAGAGGCGAGGCGCTGCTCACCCAAGTAGCTACCGCTTGCGGTCCCACCGTCTAGGAGAGGCCCGGCCGGCGGCCACGCGAAGGAGCAGCTTACCAGCAACGCCCGGTGGCCGCCCCGCGGAAAAGTAACCGAGCAAAGTAGGCGAGAAAGCTAACAGACGTCACTCCCTCAGTCACGCTCCCTGACGGACTCCCCCGCGGAGAGGCGAGGCGCTGCTCACCCAAGTAGCTACCGCTTGCGGTCCCACCGTCTAGGAGAGGCCCGGCCGGCGGCCACGCGAAGGAGCAGCTTACCAGCAACGCCCGGTGGCCGCCCCGCGCGCT